GAGAGAGAGAGAGAGAGAGAGAGAGAGAGAGAGAGAGAGAGAGAGAGAGAGACTTGGATCCCTGGGAGCTCCCAGGAGTGTCAAGTCATTAAGGAAAAAATGCCTAAAGTGGAAGGATCATTTCTTGCACTAGCTAGTTTTCCCTTCCCCAGCATCCTAATGATTACTTTGAATAGTCTCAAGCATGCTCTCATCATCTTTAGGTGGAAGCTCCCCTGGGGGAGAGCAATTTTGCATCTATAAAACAAGCTTAAGAGCTCTTGACGAGTCTTTCATGAGGAGTGGTGGTCCTTTCATTAACTCAATAAAATAATGTCTTATTTAGAATAACTTAAAATGCTGTTATTTTCCTCTAGTCGGTAGTCAAAGTCCAGTCCCACAACTTGCCTGTAAAGAACTCTACACTCTGCTCCTGTCACTACCAAGAGCATCTTCAAACAGAGATTACACTGTAGTAATAGTTCATTATGTCTACTGTCTTATATCTATCTATCATCTATCTACCTCTCTACCAGTTTTTCCGGTTCACGGAGCAACTTCTAATCCTAGCCGCATTTTAGGAAATGTCATCTTTATTTAAAGTTTAATATCTGGTGTTTGGAAACATTGCCAAAACTCTTTAAAGCATTAAGTCATTTCTTTGAATATGGTGTTCTTGTATACTATGGTTTCAAAGAAGAGACAATATTATTGAGATGGATACAGACCAAAAATATAGATCCCTCTGAGTGTGTAGTACATACTTGTAATCCCTGAACTACCGAGGCACGGCAGGAAGGTGATGCTGGCCTGAGATTTAGAAGTGGGAACTTACTTTTAAAATGTACAAATTAAGACAGACCTTTGTGTCCCACAAAGTGGGACTTCCACTGGCTATTGATTGATTCTTTATTGTGTACTTATACTAAACAAAAATCCAGGTCACTTGATGCTGCCAGAAGAGCTTTCTGTGATTAGAAGTACAGTAGTGAGAAATAAAGATAATTGAAATCTTTCATATAAAACATTTAGGCTCAGGACACCTCTACACAGAGGCAATAATGAGTCAAAACTTCCTCCATAAAGTCCTCACAGGGAGATAGATACCTATTGTACCTACTCCCCAGTCAGATGATATCTACTTGGTCCTGGGCAAGTAATAGTTAACCCCATAACTATTACTTTCCACTGTACATGTATCCAGACCTCAACAGAATTTAAATTTTTATGGATCTGAAAATGAAAACACCTCCTAATCCACACAGTAGAGAGTGTTACTATTTTATATCCACTTACAATTCCATTTTGAAAGTACATTGACAAAGTTTTTATTTCTGAAATATCTTTCAAAGCCCAAGTATTAAAAGTTTGGTCCTTAACCCATGGTACTTAGAGAAGGCAGTAGTAGCTTCAAGACAGAGAGAGCAGAGTGTGGGTCTTGAATCACTGGTCTTGTGCCTTCAAGGGAGGTTTGGGGAACACGGTTTTTTCCACTTCTATTTTGTTTGCTTACTGGTTACCCTGCAATTACCAGCTTGCTTCATCTCACAACTACCTACTGTGATGTGCATCCACAGAGCCACAATAATGGCCAAATAACCCTCAGCTGAACTGCAAGCCCAAATGTCTTTCCTGTCTTTAATTTGATTTATTTCAGGTATTCTTTTTTCTTTAATTTGATTTATTTCAGGTATTCTTTGTTTGTTTGTTTGTTTGTTTGTTTGTTTTGTTTTTTTTTCGAGACAGGGTTTTTCTGTATAGCCCTGACTGTTCTGGAACTCACTCTGTAGACCAGGCTGGCCTCAAACTCAGAAATCCACCTGCCTCTGCCTCCCAAGTGCTGGGATTAAAGGCATGCGCCACCACCGCCTGGCAGGTACTCTTATACTAGCAGAAAGCACGACCTATTTCAAGAAAGCAGAGTGGAAATAAATAAATTCTTGAAATCGAGGTACAAATCTGAGTGGAGTGGTACATATCTGTAAGCTCAACATTTAGGAGAAATGGGATAATCACAAGTTGGAAGCTACCCTGGGTTACATGGAAAGGTCTAGGCCAGCCTGGACTATGTAGCTAGACTCAAACATAAGAAAATACATAAATAAATAAGCTGAAATTCAAATGAACTTTAAATCCTGGTTATAATTTCTGAGTTATTGCTACCATTATTATTCAGTTGTATGGGAGTTATAAACTCTTGACATAGAAGACTCCAGTTGTCACAGATAGCCTAGCCCTACAGTGAAGTTTTTAGAAAGAAGAAGTCTACATATTCATGCCAAGGACTCCCATGGAGCAGAGTACTGGAACAGTGATTAATTCATTCTTCCCGTGACTCTATACCCTAGAGTCAATAGTAACTTTTAGATGGCCTTTTACTCACCTAACATTGCCTGTCTTTCGTAACATTTCTCTACTGTTTATTGTAATAACAGCACCCAATGTGAGATCTGCTCTCACAACAAAAGCTTTAGCATGCAAATCTTTTTAACCGCGGACCAACTGATGACCATCAATCTTGAAAACATCTTCACCTTGCTGCCTATTGGTTAGTAACCAGACATCTGCCCGTCTGCCTTCCATGGAGAATGCACCACTTCCCTGTTGGTTCACAAATGTGACTATGTGAGATGCCTACTGTGTTCACTCAGTGTGTATCTTCCCGTGCCTGAACTATTTCACTTTTCACAATGTCTCCAGTGTTGCACACTGCAGAGTTCCCTTGTGGTATCTTTGCACTGAAATTTTAATTGAGTAAGCTCAAGAAACGTACCAAAAATACTGTCTCCTTTTTTTTTTTTTTGTCAAAAAGAGGAGTGCAATGGTTGAATCTCCACATATTCCAAACTAGATATAAATCTAATTCCTTTTATACAATAGAAAATAAGCCCACCAACAAGACTTAGAAGATGATAAGACTAAGAGTTTATTATTATAAGAATGAATGCCAAGTAGCCAAAGAGATACTCTTGGTAGTGTAAACCACACGCTGATCCCAGTGAAGAGTATTGTGTGATTCTATGGTCAAAAATTGATCCTTCTGCATGTTCTAGCTGTCAAAAATGTCTGTAACAAAGATGTTTGCAAACCAAAGCATGGAGCAACTGCTATAACTGAGTGACTGCTATTAAAAATTCTCCCCATCTTTGGCTACGTGCAATGGTGAAGGTGACATGACTGCCTCTCAACCTGGTTCTTCTTTCTTATTTGTTCAGTGGTACCAACCCTCAGATGGAGAAACGGAAGTGCAACACAGCCACGTGTGCCACACAACGCCTGGCAAACTTTTTGGTTCGTTCCAGCAACAACCTTGGTCCAGTCCTCCCACCAACCAATGTGGGATCGAATACATATGGCAAGAGGAATGTGGCAGAAGATCCAAATAGAGAATCCTTGGATTTCTTACTCCTTTAAAGTCAATGCACTTCCATGTCTCTTATTACTTCATGTGTTAATGCTCTGGTGATTTCCTGAATAATTTAACAGTGCCTTTTCCATTCCCCCAGTGAGAATGCACAATGTGCCGATGCTTGCTTGAGTGTTGATCAAGGATAGGGTGAAGACAATATCTGTAATCACAACATGTTCCTGCTATACATTGATATTTTAGAGACACTTAAAATTTCTGTTTGTACCTTGTAACTCTATGATTCAAGCTTATCAATAAAGGAGACCATGGGATCATGAAACTTGACAAGTCATTGATAGCTAATAGTAAGCTTCTGATTCTAGACATTGGGGAAACAAGCATTCTAAATACCTGCTCGGATGGTACTTCAAAATAAATTAGCAAAATCATATTTTAATTCTATTTTCATTGTCCTTGTTGGTAGTAAGAGGCCATTTTAAAGGATAAAAGTTGTTTGTGTCCATGAGGGGTTTATTGGTTTTTCTCTGCAGAAACCTTTAATGATATGTTTATTTTGCTGAGGAAGCTTTCAGCAAAACTCAAACATATTTGTATCCAGCATAATTAAAAGGATTCTGTCTTCTATTCTGCATGCCTTCAACTAAGAGAGCACAGATTTGTGGAAACAAACCCTGTATGTCAACTTATTCTCTTGGTTCAGTCACGGAAGAGTGGAAGAATGGTGTGACTGTGTAAATCAGTGTTATAATCTGCATGCTTCTCCATGACTGTTAACTGGAACCATTGGAAATAACATTGATACACACGAATGTCTATAACACTAATTTATACCATTTTTCAAACTGGGATCTCACTATAGAACCCTGACTGTCTATGAACTCATTATGTCGACCAGGCTGGCCTCCAACTCAGAAATCTGCCTGCCTCTGCATCACAAACGCATAGATGTATAAACTAAATCATGAACATTTCAAAAAAAAGTAAACGAGAAGAGAATAGAAAGAAAAGGAGAGAGCCAGGGCTGGAGAGAGGGCTCAGCAGTTCTGAATTGCTGCTCACACAGAGGACTCAAGTTTAGTTCCAAGCACTATATAGGGTAGTTCGCAGCCACTTGTAACCCAACTCCAAAAGGATTGAAATCCTTCTTAGGACCTCTATGGGCACCTGTACTCATATACATCTACATATTAAAAATGCTAAAAATATGTCATTTTTTAAAGAAAGCAATGAGTAAAATATCCAGGTACATTTATATTTTCATTATCTGTATCATTATTAATCCTATAAAACCCCTTGATTCTCGTATACTTCTAGAATAATGTCAATGAGCTGACTCATGAAAGATCATGTAACTAAAAATGTAGGCCCAGAGCCCACCACCCAGACCCTACGGTTCAGGCACTTTATCTATTTTACATACAAGCAGAAATTCTTGTCTCCTCCTTCTGGTGTGCATTGTAGTTTCTGCTATATGGAGCAGTGCATGAAAAGTCTCTTCCTGAGTTGACTCCTAAGTTGACAAACAACAAACCTGGCATTGAAAATAATGGTCTTTGCCCCAAACATTACGAAAGAGGTTTTTTAGATCTTATATTTTTAGAACTCAAAGTTTTTTTTTTTAGAAAAAAAGTTTGAAAAACAGTAAATTTAACTTCTAACATTGAAAGATTGTTCATAGTATATTTTTTTCTTCCAAACTTTCAATAATTTAAATGCCTTATTATTATTATTCAGTATGTGTCTGCACACTCATGTGTATGTATGTGTGTGCACATACATGCTGAAGTACATGTGTGGGTGTCAGAGTACAACAACTCAGTGTCAGTCTCCATCATCTGCCTTGTGTGAGGCTGGTTCCCTTGTTTGTTGGTCCCCTAGCTGGAGAAGCCAGGCTTCCATGGATTCTCCTCCTCCTCTGCCCATCTCACCATAGGAGTTCTGGGATTACAGAAGCTATTGTCCATATCTACATGGGTCCTGAGGATTCACACTCAGGTCTTCATACTTGTGTGCCAAGTGCTTTACACACTGAGCCATGTCTATGGCACTTGTACCCATCTTCCTGCTGAGACTGTTGTTTCTGTGTTTGGGAACTTTGAGTGAGTAAGCCCAGCGTGGTCAGTTCTTCAAGGACTTTCCCATAGGATCCCAGATCCCATGTTCATCACAGTTACTCATGGACACTGGGCATCTGACTTCTGTCCCTTTCATACCTCACATAATATTCCTCCACCCCTGGCTACATATTCTGGTCACTCACACAGCTTCTTTCACCTCTGGGATGTGCTCAGTTCTGTGTGAATGGTATATACTCTGTGTGTGGAACTCCTCCCGATCCACTGTCGATGAGATATCCACATTACTCTTCTGACACCAGTTTGCCCAAACATTCCCTTAGTCACTGACAATTGTGTATGTAACTTACTTTTTAATTTGAAACTATCATGGTGATAATGACTTCAAAAGTATCTTGGAGAAGCTCACAGTTTATAACTTATATTTTTGGTCACTACACTCAGTGATTGTCTGCCTGTAAGCTTCCTCAGGTCAGAGTTATAAGTGTGCTATCTATCCTCTTCATACTATTTAAGTCATTTATTTTAACAAAACAGGTGTTCAGTGCATTATGGGTGGAATCGTTGTCACCTATGAATGATAAATGAGCAAATGCAACAGGCTTTGGGATAACAATAATTTTGTATAGTACAATGAAGTTTTAAAAGAATGTAGCTTCTTTTACATTCTCTATATAAAGCAAGGGTAATGATGCCTTCCTGGCATAGTTTTAAAGAGTAGGACTAACATAAAGTACCCGACATGCCTTTTGTGTCTAACTAGCCATGGCCAACTTAGCCATGATGACTGCACCTAAGCAAGGGGTAAGGTGACTTGATATCACAGAGTGTACTTCTGTAGTTAAAAGGCACAACTTGAAAAGTGGGACAGAGAAATATGATAAAGGTCAGCAACCTAATCGGACATAAAAAAAAAAAAGTTAAAGAAAGCCTCAGAGATAAACAAAGAGAGGAATAGCTCGACAACCATCCACCCACATGCTGATAGGGTATATGCTACCAGATCTCTTCCTGCTCCAAGAGCCAAGGGACACAAAAAAGCCCGTGCTGCACAACCACATCTAGAATTACAAAACTTTGACACAGCCATGTACGTCTCAGGCTCTGCAAGTCCACTGTCTTCCCTGTGGGAATATCTCGCTGTTCTCTAGAACAAAGGCTAGGATCCCTAAAGACTGCCATGAAAATCCTCTTACAAGCAGATTAGGAGAGAAAACGGAGAATCCAAAGTCCTTACCGGATAGAGCTTAAGTTGGTGGAAATTTTACACCATGCCTTGGTTACTTCTTACTGTGGTGAAGTACCCTGACTTAAGACACTTGAGGGAGAATGTGTTTATTTTGGTTTACACTTCCAGAGTACAGTCAGTCCATCATGGTGGGGACATCACGATGCCGGAGGAAAGCAGCTGGAAGGAGACATCCACAGAAGGAGGGGGAGAGCAATGGAGCTTGTACTCTCTCCCTTTCTCCTGTCTCTGTAGTCTAGGATTCCATCTCAGTCAAGGTTCCTATTACTGTGGTGAAAGCATGACAAAAGCAACTGGGAGAAGAAAGATTTTGTTTCAGATACTCTTTTTTGTTTTTGTTTTTGTTTGTTTTGTGGGTTTTTTATTGAATATTTTATTTACTTCTATTTCAGATGTTATTCCTTTTAACCATTTCCCTTTCATGGCACTGTCCACCACTGAGAGAAGTCAGGACAGGAACTCAAACAGGGCAGGAACCTGTAGGCGGGAGCTGATGCAGAGGTCATGGAGGATGCTGCGTATTGTCTTGCTCATCATGGCTTGCTCAGCTTGCTTTCTTATAAAACTCAGGACCACCTGCCCAGGGATATCAGCTACATCTACAAAGGGCTGGGCCCTCCCCCATCTATCAGTAATTAAGAAAATGCCCTATAGCAGGATCTTATGAAGGCATTTTCACAATTAAGGTTTCATCCTTTCAGATGACTCTAATTTGTGTCAAGTTGATATAAAAACCAAACCAGCACACCATCCAAGGAATTTGGTTGGGTCTTCCCACTTCAATTAATGTAGTCAATATAATCTTTCACAGCATACAGAAGTTTATCTTCCAGGTCTTTCTAGATCTCATTAAGTTGACGATTGAGACTATCCCACCACATACATAACAAACTTAACAAATTAAACTTATTTTAAATTAACTTCATAAGCAGAAATTATAAAAAAGGAGATTAAGTCCAGTGTTTGTGTGTGTATATTTCTATACAGAGATATGTAGATAGCAGAGATATATACATATGTAGATAGACAGACAGATGATAGATGATAGATAGATAGATGATGATAGATAGATAGATGATAGATAGATATGCATATATATTTAAATTTGGATTTTACATATGGCAGAAAACATATGATGACTCCCATAACTGGACAGTTTTTGAAATTCATTCTGTGCTGGACATGATGACTCACACCTGTTAACCACAGCGCTTGGGGAGGCTGAGACAGGGGCATTGTTCAAACCTGGCCTGAGTTCTCCAGAAAGAGCTGTTTCTCATAAGAAACACTAGTACACTTTCAAAATAATAGCAGTCAGGCCAGCAGCATGCTGGGCAGTGCAGCTTTGGGAACTAGGAAGGGCTCTCTGAGTATCCCAGATGTATTTTCAAACCTTTGTGTATATTCCTAACAGTTTAAGCTTAAGTTTCTTCCTCTGTATATGAAATAGCGATTTGCACACATACATATAAAAAGTGAGAAGCTGGGACAGGATACAGCAGAGGCCTTCAGTAATTAGCAACACTTGACAGGATAACAACAAAGTTTTGCATCCTAGAATATTATGACACGGACAAAGCATGGAATGTTGAAATATATCAATCAATAGATTTCACACTTGGTCTCACCTTAATCCCAAGCCTTTTGAGTGGATGGTCAGAAAGTTAGAAAATTCATGAGTCAAGATGTTTGAAAAATTCTGGTAGCCACATCTGGTAAA